GGCGGCGGCCGGAGCACTTGGACCGGGGGTTGTGCAGCGCAGCAAACTCCTTGGCCCCCTCCTGCAAGCGGAGCAGAAGACAAGGCAGGTGACACAACTGGAGAAGACAGGAAGGCTTTGCACAGGCCCTGGGACCTGCCCTGCCACCACCAGGGGAAGGTGGCAGACCCATGACACAGGCCCTGCCAGCTGCCCACGCTGCGTGTCCCGCTGTGCTTCCTTTGGCATCGCTGCCCTGTTGGAAGAGACTCCCTGGCCCTGGTCCTCCTGTCTGCTTCTCTGCCTCCTGCCCTGGCAATCCTCTTCTCCTGGTCTCTCCCTCCCCTCCAGCCCCGAAGCTCCCCGGAACACCCCGTGCCTCAGCTGCCCAGCTCCAACACCAGCAAGTGCATCCACCAGCCCTTCAATCTCCAGCTCTCAGCCCAGTAAATGCAGCTGGGCTATGAAATATCATTTTTAACACAGTTCCAGCCTTCTCCACATACTAAAATCCTTCCGCAGCACTTTAATCTGAGCTTTGTTTTCCAAACACTGCACTGAGATCATTTGCAACCACAATTTCCCCATCTGCTAGCTATGAAATTAGTCTTTGTTGGGGATTTATTACAATACACATCTGGCAAGATCTGCATTTGCATTCATGGTCCCCTGAATCCAATAAGGATTAGAATTAATTCAGAAAAGTCATCAAAGATGTCAGAAGGACCCACAGAGCTCCGTGGAGCAGGGCTGCCCCGGCCTTTTCTCTCATGGTTTCAAAAGCATCAACGCAGGAACATACCAGCCAGAGGAAACAGTCTGCTCCGCAAGGGTCTGGCTCGATCTTGGTCTCTCTATTCTTTCGTTTGTACACATTAGGAGTAGCATGAAAAGCTGAAAAAATAATAGTTATCTTTACTATTAGCATCCTCCAAGAACCTCCCCGCACACTGCAAGGGCCAGGAGCAGCAGGAGCTCAGTGAAGGTCAGTGGGAGCCTGGCGCAGTCAGAAGTGCCCGAGCAGCTCTCCCAGCAGTGGGGAATGAGGCACAGGACCCCCCAGCCAGCCCCGCTCCAACCCAGGATGGGACTCAGCAGCAGGAGGGGAACACTGGGAAGGAAAGGCCATAGGAAAAATATCTGCTTTCAGACTGAAACAAAAAGACCACATGATCTTAATATTATATCTTTTAATAAAGAGATCACTGGGAAGCGTCCTGTGACTTTCCAAGAAGCTCTCAGACCTAGGGAACAGAAGGTCCAACAGCTAATCAGTATCCAAGAGGCTGTGGCAGCACAAACCACAGAACATGGCTAAGATGAAGCTGTAAGTTCCAGTGAGGCAACAAAACACAGGGGCATGTCCAGACTTTGGAGGGAAACATTCATGCCTTTCCCTGACGAGCTTCTGCAAAGCAAGAGTAACGTCTGGTCGTGGCAGTGTTCCTGGCACAGACCGCCAGGCGGCTCGGACGCGGCGTGCTGAGCAGTGCTGAGAAAGGGGACGGCCACGCAGGTCCTTTTACCATCCGTGTGAGGCACGAGAGGAGCCGTCTCTAGAACAGGCTTCGGGGCCCCTGCCAGCTCCTAAGGCTCCACGGCAAACTCCGGGGAGGCACCACCCCCTAAGACTGCAGCTCAGGCACTACGCAAGGCGTGCAGAGTATGAAGCACTGAGGAAAAATGAGGAGAAAAGGGCTCTAGGGAAGCGTCCGGCCAAGCGTCCACTTACGATGCAGAAAGCAGTCGTATTTGAAGCAGCGGCGGCAGAAGAGGGTGTGGAAGGAGTGCAGGGACTGCTCCCGCTGCACCGACTTCGCGCAGGGCCCGTCGATGTTGGGGGTGCACTGCGGCGGCAGCACGTTCGGGTCCGACACCTCCGTGAGCTCCCGGTACCTGCTCGGCACACAAAGACCCCCGGTGGGCACGCGGTCCGGCCGGCGGGGCTCTGCCCTGGCAGGGCTCTGCCCCGGGCACCCCCCCTGCTCAGCCAAAGCCTCTGCTGGGGCAGAACCTGCCCTGCTCAGGGTGCCGCAGCCAGCTGAGCGCCCTGCCGAGCTCCGAGCTCTGCCAGGCTCCCCCAGACACAGACCCCGGCTGCTGCCGAGAAAGGTTAACGGGCAACTTAAGCAGAGATCTTCTACCTCTCTTTCATGTCATCGGGGAAGCCGTACTCGGGAAACATAGAAGAAATAGCCGTGAATATCATGTCATTTGGAAAGCGCTTCTTCGAACACTTCTTGTTTCCTGGGAGAAAGCAGGGAGACAACCCCCGTCACGCTGCACGTGAATGGGTCTTTCCCTCTTCCGGTAGGTGCTCGGGATTGTATTTTAAGAGACAGAAACGTAACCCCACGTGCAATGGAGAAATCTTTTGCCCTGCACCTAGGCTAAGGCGTTTCCAGACACAGTACACAGCCACTTTCGGAGTAGCATAATGTATTGGAGGAAGTACTAATGACTTCTTAAGGACTATTCCTGTTTATTTTTACAAAGACAGGATTTGCAGACGATGCTTTTCTACATCTGTGAGAGGTCCTGGTGTCCGTGCTACCCGTATCACTACAAACCGAAGAAAACTACCACTCAGCACTCCTAAGGTCACACAGGACACATAAAAATCCCACAAACCAGAGGGAAGAGGAACACTGACACATGGAGAACGGGTCTGGAAGGGATCTGAAAGCTCCACCTCCCCAGACTACAGCACAATCAGATAAACCTTACTGGCACTTTAAAACCCCCAAGAGCAGAGATCCTGCAGCCTCCTCAGATAACACCCCACCGATTTGCTAATCTTGCCATCAAATGCTTTTCCAGATGATTCATCTTCCTCCCCACACTTTAAGCTGGTGACTTCTTATCCTGCCCACAGGGGACAGCGAGAACAACTAATTTCCCCTCTGCTCCCAAGGACCATCCCAGACCTTGCCACGCCGGTCGCTACCTTAGTGACACGCTGACAACCGAGGGCGATGGGCGCAGAGCAGCGCCCGGCTACCCGGGCAGGGCAAGGTGGAAACGTGACCAACATAACCCCAGCTTCCACGACCAAACGCACCTTCCACTGCAATTCGCTTTCTTTTCCTTGTGACTGGCAGCTCCTCTTTCCCATCCTCCTGTTTACCCTCAGAATCATTGTGTCCTTCCTCTTCCTCATCCGAGTATTGGTTCAGGGCGTTCACCAGCTCCAGGAACACAGCGTCGCTGATGAGGACTGACCCTGAAATCATTTCTGAAACACAGGGATGTCAGCCAGTTTGTGGCAGTACCATCATCTTCCGCGCTCTGCAGGGTGGTAAGTCACAAGGCAGCAACGCCACGCTGTTAACAAACAGCACCCTTCACCCAGTTTTGTACAGACAGGTGGGTTTTTAATGCTAAAGAGTCAAAAGAGTGGTGTTATCATCCTTAGCAATCTGAGGACAGAAAGTTTTCCACTGCCTTCCTCCCTGAATGCAGGATTTTATGATGAGGTGGGCAGCACCACAAGGAAACACACTGACTTCTCATTTCTTAAAAGACTGATTAAAGACTTGGCTAAGATCACAAGCAAAACGAGGTTGCTGAGCTCCTCCTAAGCTCTAGCACATTTTTCACATCCCAGAGCACACCTTTGAACCCCCATGGGCTCCAGAGCTCCCCAGGCCTAGAGGGAGGGGAGTGGGATATCAAAAGCAGGACTGTGTCCTTGCACGCTCGGGCAGCAGGAAGGTTCCTGTTCTTCTGCTCTAAGAGCTCCCCCAGAAGGGCTGGTTACTGCTGCCACCTTTTGACTTCTTAACTATTTTGAGACGTTACTTGGAAGAGACTGAATGGGCAGTGCTGACTGCTCCCAGGTTACCTTCCTCTCCGTGAACTTTCCCATCATAGTTATTAATAAGTTCTTCAATGAAAGTTTCATCTTCTTCCTTCACCTCATCTCCCATGTAAGGGATATTGCACAGAACAGTTTCATCCTCCACCTGAAAGAGACACGGCACGATTCAGAGCACCCACACAGGCTGACCCCCGACCCCGCTGCGCCGGGGGCCGCCCCTGCCCCTCCGGGCCCACAGGCAGCACAGCACAGAGCTCAGCCCCCGTGGCTGCAGCTTCACATGTCTCATCACTGACATTTCATCGTTACCCCATGCCAGCAGCATAACTCTGACCCCTGGAAGTGCAATTTGCTTTAAAAGAGAAGAGCAGAGCCTCCAAGACAGGAACACACAGGCTGCCAAGAACAATGAACAGCAAAAAAAGGTCAGGGAGACTGGAGCAGTGAAAGGCAAGCCAGTAACTCGCTCCCTGGAGGAACCCAGCCACAGCTGGGGGGGGTTCTCATGTTAACCACAGGAGCAAGGACACTGGACCTTTGCTGCCATGGCATCACTGATCGGTGTGTCACGCACTGCCCAGCCTGCCACAGGCAGCATGGGGAGCCCTGCGGGGTGCAGGAACACGTCCCCACCCCACAGCTGGCTCAGCCAAGCCAGCCACAGGCTTCTGTAACAAATACCTACACCAAAATCTGCATTTAAATCACTCCCCTCGCTGCTATGACACACGACTAATCCTCAGTAGCATCCTTACAACGAGGCCAGCAGGGTAATCCAGTCACAAAGGAAAGGACTTGCCTTAAATGGAGAAATGAAACTCTCCATTTAAAAGGCAAGGAAAATCTTCAGAAAAAAAAAAAAAACAAAACCAGACCCAAACAAAACCCAAAAAACATATTTAGTCCTTGAATCCTGTGAAATAATGATGGCCTATGAAGGAGCCAGGGGTAGCTGGGTGAGACAGTGTGGACAGAAGGCTGTTTTACGGGATTCAACAAAACAAGGATCTAAACTAATACCTTCTGTCATCTCTCCAACAGACACCACCTGAAAGAGCGTGTTGAAGAAGGCACAAACACTCCACAACCACGGAACAGTCACACACGGACAGCACCAAGACCTTTTGCCCTGGAGCATTCCTACGTACCATGAAGTTCTGCTGGAGAGGGGACCAGGAATACATAATGGGCACCAGCGCCACTGTGTTCAGGGTCCTCATGTACAGCGTCTGGCTTGGGAAACCCGGGAAAATGCTCTCGACAGTGCACTGGAACAGAGCATGAGAGGGCAGTGAGGGAAGCACCACGGGGGCAGCCACGGCCAGGGGGGTCACACGCCAGGACAAACACAGCCAAGCCCCGCGTTCGCTCCACGGGGCTATCACAGGAAAAGCCTTCGGGGTGCTTTTTGGCCCATTTTTGTGTCCCAGAACTGAGCAAGGCACAGCCTGACACTGACACGGGACAGCACACACAAAAAATGACCCCGCATCCTCACAGCTCCCTGCAAAGCCCTGGCTCTAGGCCACTCCTGCTGCTGCTGAGCCCTTCTCCTCCCCAGACCTGCTTCAGGAACGGGTGCCCGCTGACTGGCTTCATCAGCTGCACGGGCTGGACTCGAAGCTTCTTCCAGTCCTCATTCAAAATTTGAGTCTTTTCATGAACCTTTGTAAAGTTGGCCACAAACAGAGCCTGAAATGAGAGAAAGCAGCACTCAAAGTCTAAGAAATCATGTTGAGAACACTAAAACCCCCCCCTGAGAGTTTGTTTCAAGCATCACAGTGTGCACAAGACAGAGCACTTCAAATTGATGATACTCATTAGAAGGAATTCTAATTAGGCTCAGCATTGATGCAAGACTGCTGAAAATCTGCCCAACAGCCAGAAGCTTCTGACAGCTCCTGGTAACAGCCAACCTCTTACAAAACCCTGCCTGCCAAGGAGAGGAGCATCACAGTGAGAGACCTGAACCCACCAGCACAAAGAGGGGTCAAGCGGGGAGAGACGTGAAAGAACAAGGAGCAACGAGTCCTCCTGATGCAGCTATGCAAGAACTCAGCCAACAGACCCAACAGACACCGACTGTGCTGCTCAAGGGTGATAATGGAGCGTGAGGAGAAATATTTTCTTCTCCACCTCACCCAGCTCACAACTAAAACACAGCTTATCAATTCACAGGCTGAAGCACCCGCCCAACAGCTGCTCAGACACGACAAGCTAAAGCAAAGCATCCAGGAGACACCCTTCGGCTGTTGTTACATCCTCACCTTAGCTCCCATGTTTGCCTGAAACCTCTTGAGCTGCCGGAGACGCATATATTCAGACTTGACTTTTCTTTTCCAGTATATAATACATTTCGATGTCGGAGGAGTGGCGATCTCCATTTTCCTATAAAGACAGAGAAAAAATACAAATATGCAAAAACAGAGAGCTTAATCCTATGAAAAACAGCCATGAGAAAACAAAACAAAACAAAACAACACCCCAAAAGCAGCACGCAATCTCTGTGGGGTTTAAATGCACCAGGGACTTTAACTAGGGAAAAATAACTGCGTGCATCCGCGCCAGCCCCACGGACGGAGCAATCTCGGCACGGGCCACACGAAAAGCCCGCAGAGCTCGCGGAC